AAGAATTGCATGTGGAAGTATTCAGGGACTGGTGAACTGTTTCAACCATGGTAGGGGCAAAGGGATCAGAAAAATAGTAAAGAAGATGAAGACATGAGTGAAAATAATAAAACAGAAAACATAGGACAGCACCAGGAGGGAGTTCCAGTGAATACTGACACCCACATTTAATTTCCGATTGCTTAAAATACCCGACCCCAAAAGATAGGAGTAAGATTTTTTTTAAAGCTGCATTAACATGATACAAGGAAATGAACAGACCAGTTGAAGGTCTTGGGGCTACACCTGTAGTTAAACATTCTGTAGCTAGAACAAAACAAGTCACATTCACACCCTAGACCAAAACACTCTGTGGACAAAGCACTCCCAGGGCAGAATCCAAAGTTACCTCCATAAAGGGAACTAGAACTTAGTTGGATCCTTAGACTTGTTTGTTTGTTTGTTATTGTTATTCCAAGACAGGGTTTCTCTGTGACTTTGGAGCCTGTCCTGGAACTAGCTCTTGTAGACCAGGCTGGCCTCGAACTCACAGAGATCCACCTGCCTCTGCCTCCCAAGTGCTGGGATTAAAGACGTGCACCACCACCTCCCAGTAGATCCTTAGATCTTTTGTTTGGGGTAGAAACAGAACCACTCTAGGCCTGAAATACAAGGCCTAGATATAAGCCGCACTTGTTAACAATAACCTTGAGAGAATAGAAGTAAGTTCCAACTCTCTAACCTTTGGTCATGGTGGAAATGGCCTCATATTTCTGGGCCTCCATAGTCATAACACTCAATGTCAAGAATCTTTATCAGCTGAGACATCTCTCCAGAGTCTCCCGCAAAAAAAAAAAATCTTTTTATAATGTTTTTTATTTTATGTGCATTGGTGTTTTACCTATATAAACTCTGTGTGGGGATGTCAGGTGTCCTCAAACTGAAGTTACAGATGGTTGTGAGCTGCCATATGGAAACTGGGAATTGAACCCAGGTCCTCTGAAAGAGCAGCCAGTGTTCTTAACCGCTAAACCATCTCTCCAGCCTCCCCCTCCAAAAAAATATTTTTTTCGAAAAAAAAATCTTAAAATGTAAAATAAATTCTCTAAAAATATGTGAAGTATGTATATAAATACTTAAAACCGAACAGAACAGGGCACAGGCATTGGCAGTCATACCAACTCTCACCTCCAGAGGGCACACCAGGCTTAGATTAGGGCTCCATTGCGTCTGAGTTTGGCTCCACCAGTTCCTGGACATCCTTTCAAAGTATTGAGGACTCCTGAACTGGGTCGTGAAAAGGAGCTGAGCGTGGTGGCACACTCCCAGCCCTTGAGGGTCAAAGGCAAGAGAACCAGGAGTTCAAGGTCATTTTCTACAACTGCAGTTCTTGACCTGTGAGGAAAAAAGAAAGTCGCAACCACTTTGTTGAATGACCCTTTCACAGGGATCACAACAGCGACAAAATTACAGTTATGGAGTAGCAACCATAATTTTATGGTTGGGGTCACCACAACACGAGGAATTGTATTAAAGGGTCACAATAGGAATGTTGAGAACTAGTGCGCTACAACTTAATTCTCGGCCAGCCTGGGCAAAAGTGACAACAAACCCACCCACCGCCAAAAAGAAGTTAGGACAGAGATGTCCCACACGGTGGACCGTGCTGCTCCAAGAAGTCATGGTTTTTAAATAAAAAAAAAACCCAGGACCAGGCCCGGGGTACCCCCATAGGTATACTGGAGGCAGATCTTGGAGCCTCAAAAAGCTCCCAAATGATATAGATATATCATTGCTCTTAGCACCCATGAGAACTAGAGAGTAAGAGCCTGCCGCAGAAGACACAAAGAAGTCAAGCTGAAAGCGATCTGAAGCTTCCTTCCTGCTGGTGCTCCAGAGGCTGTTCAGGGGAAAAGTCGCCAACGACCTCATCCAGCTGTGGGCCCTGCAGCCTACAGCCCCCGGCCTGCAAGACAAGGTCTATGCACTGCGTTTGTAGTGGGGCCACAAATGCTCGGGGGTGACCGAGAGGCCCGATCCACACAGGGAGTTCCATGGCACTGTAAACCTGACCACAAATCCACAGCTATGGGTGTCATAGTCTCCAGGGGGAACCTACTGCTGATGGTTCCCTGGATAAGCACGTACTCAAACTGCCTTCTAAACATTTCTGTTTATAGCCACAGACCAACGCAGCTCTCAGCCTTGGCCAGATAAGCCTCTTCTGGAAGCAGGTGACAGTCAAAACAGAGACTTATAAATGGCCAAATCGCTGAGAGTAAGTGAGTACTTAGTACTCAACACTAAACAAGACATCTCTATCAACTCCCCTCCAAGACCAAGGCAACATCAAAGAAAAGTGGTGAAGAAAAGGCTGTAAGGACCAGAAGACAAGGAAGAGTCCCAAAATGCTGTCTTCTGTCTACGTGGCTGTTACATAATGAACACACAGCAACCATGGCTACCTGCACAGGGCCTGCTCCTTTCTCCGTCTTAAAAGAAGACATGAAAGTAGGAAGGGGGCTAGCTGGGAAAGGGATAGGAGTCGGCAAGAGCAGGAATGGATAAGAAAAGTTAAAAGTGAGCCAGGCAGTGGCAGCGTACACCTTTAATCCCAGCACTCAGGAGGCAGAGGCAGGGGAATCTCTGTGAGTTCAAGACCAGCCTGGTGTACAGAATGAGTTCCCGAGCAGGCTCCAAAGCTACAGAGAAACCCCGTCTCAAAAAAAACAAACAAAAAAGAATAGGTCACTGGTTTGAGGTGGGTAGCCATGTGGATCTCTAGAGGAAAACCATTTATTTTAAACTTTATTACATTTGTGTGTGTGTGTGTGTGTGTGTGTGTAGGTCAAAGGACAACTTTCTGGAGTTGGTTCTCTCCTTCCACGATGTTGTTGAACGCTGGTCATCAGGCTTGGCAGCAAGCGCTTTTAACTACTAAATAAACCCTCTAACTGAGAGGAAAAGCACTCTAAAGTGAGCTGCAGCATGTGCAAAGGTCCTAAAATGGAGCTTTCCAATAATTCAGACACAGTAAAGTCATTTCTGCCACAGTATGGAGTGCGCTCAAGCCTACACGCGGAAGGAACACTGCTCCTGCACCGGTGTCCACTAGAGCCCCACCCCCTCTCCAGCCTACACAGGAACGTCCTTCCTTACCCGGCTGTACCGCCTTCCACCTGTCCGTGGTCACCGCGCACGTCTCTCTCGTTTGTTTCTCTGTTCCCTTTACAAGTGGGTGTGATGGTGCTAAAGCATATTTACTTGACAGAAGCTTAATTATTCATCCGCGGGAACCTGAACAGGGAGTTAAAAGAGGCCACGGGGTCAGGGTGGGGTGGAAAGAGGTGGACAAAGAAGGACGGGGCATGGCGGGGGGGGGGCAGAGTGGGGTCACACAGTGGAGTGACAAGGGTTATGGCAAAGCAGGGGTTTGTGGGACACGGGTGGAGATGAGTTAAGGGTAGAGAGGAGAGGTGGGGACTTGGTACGTTAAGAAAAGGACAGGGGAAAAGAGGATGGGGGGTGGATGGGGGGCGTGGAGAGACCCGACTGTGGGTGGCAATAGAGGGAGAGACAGCGGTGGGAGATGGGACGCGGAGAACAGAGTGAATCGAATGGGTGGTTCAGAAGTGCACGGATGGGAGTTCAGAAACTGGAGGGAAATCACACCCGGTGGGCTCCGGACTGCCAAGGAAGTCTGCGGCCGGGGCGTGGCTGGGGGTGTGCATTACACAGGATTCCTCCACCCCCTTGGAGTTCCTAGTCTTCTCCTTTAGTCCCGCCTCCTCCTTGGGAGTAACAAGCCCACCTTCCAATCAGAGTCACGGGCTGGGCAAGGAATAGCCAATGGCACGTCAGGGGCGGAGCTGGGGAGGGGGCTCACACGGCCATGGGAGGGGGCGCAGGGCTTCCAGGGCTCAGGATCCGCGAAAGGCGAGCCATGGCGTTGGGGCTGCAGCGCATGAGGTACAGGGCTTTGGGGATAAAATGATGGGGACTGGGGGCTCTCCTTGAAGGGGGTGTGGGGGAACCCCTCATCTGTGGGGTGTGGCTCAAGTTGAGGACACTCTGGAGCGCGCGACTGGGGACACATCCCCGACGCACCCTCCACCGTAGAGGGTTGCAGAGGTTCTGGGATTTATCCCCAGAGCTCCAGCTGTCCCGCCCCCCTCCCCAGGAGCTGCTTTGGGGTTGTGAGCTGCGATTTCCTGATACACCGGGTTCAATCCTCCTTTTGGGCTGGGAGTGAAACTCTAAATTCCTATGGATTTGGAGGTGGTTGTGTTTGATCAGTGGCCTCTCTTCCGAAAGAGACTTTCCTCGAAGCTACTGAATTGAGGCTTTCTTGGCCTTCAGACGCCACTTGTGACTTCCAGAAGAGAAGTTACCTTTATCCTGCCAATTACAACAATCTCCCAGTTTTCAAGTTGCCCAAGAAATGATCGGAAAGAATGACTCGTTAGGGGCTGTGTGGGACCCAGCACTTGGGAAATCAAAGTCAGCCTGGCCTACATGGCAAGTTCCAGACCAGCGCTTTAGTCTACACAGAGAATTTGTCTCAACAAAACAGCAACTTAAGGGGGGGGGGGGGGAGTAGGGTCACGCCTTTTCAATGCCAAAGGAACAAGCCTGACCCACTTCCCAAAGCCTGGTTCTGTATCTCATTCATCTGCCCCCACCCAATCTGTAATTGAGGGAGAAGGGTCCCACCCAAACCCTATTTAAGGGACATCCTTCGGGCGAGATGCCATGTCTGATCAAGCGAGGGAAGTAGGGCCCTCCTGTGGCCGGGAACAGCTGGGGTCATCCTGGGAAGAAGTGGATTCTGTGTTCACCTTGCAACAGGTGCAAAGGCATAGGGACCATAACCAGGTTGCCACAGGGGACCCCAGAAAACCACCCTAGACCCTTGACAGTCCCTGTCTAAACTAAGGCACCCCTCAACTCTCGCCACAGTTCCTTCTCTCTGGCTTCTTAGGTCTGATTGGTTTTCTCTACACCCTGATTTTACCCCCACCTCAACCCACCCAGGCACCCTTTTTCCCGTTCTCCTGTTTCAATTTCTGGCTCTGAACCCACCAGGGAACTCCATCCCCACCCCTTCTTGGCTAGTCCTTGCCTTGCCCATGATAGTGCCCCCTATGGTTGTGTGAGGGGGCCCCTCTGAACAGAAGTAGATGCCCCTCCTGGGTACCTAAGGCCAGCCCTTTCCTGTGGTGTCATCTCGTGCTGCCGCACACCCACTAGTAACTCGCACCCGCCTCCCGGTCGAGCTCTGGGCCCCTCCTGCGCCCCTAGGATGGCACTTGGCATCGGAGGGGACTTAGGTAATGGTAAGTGGTTCCCTCCGGACCATGCACCTTCTTCCTTCTAGCTTTCGGCTTCCAGCCATCTCACCCTTTTGGGGAGGGTGTTCTTGGAAAATTCACAATGAGCACATTGCCCTGAGTACCCACCTGAAAGCAGGGTTCCCCATAAAAACAGGACTGGTGACTGGCATCCCACAGAATAACCAAATGACCATACTGTTGAGAACAAGTTAGATCAAGGTGAGAGAGGCTCCTCTCTGACCCCTACCCCAAGTCCTTTCTCCCACCCGAACCTTGGCCCCTGGCCTGCCAGCTCACCTCCAAGCAATATCAAAAGGGGTCTCTCCCCAGATATAAAGCTAAGTCTCCACCACACCTCAAATCCTCTACAGTTTTTGCCAGCCCGCGAATACCGAGCTGAGAGTCAGAAGAGAAGCCCAGAATGTGAGAAAGGGGCTCCCTTAATTTCCTAAGCTTTTCGGGTGGGGAAAGAAATGGGGACTTTTCTCCCTTGGCGAAGGGGCCACTGGGCCCCAAGTCCCCCTTACCAGGCCTCACCCTGGGCCTCTTGGCCACACCCTCTGTTCTCAGCTAGAACACGGAGTAAGGGTGGCAAAGTTCCAGGCGCACGTCCCAGGCTGGGCACACTGCCAAGGGGGTGGACCAGTGCTGGGCCAGCTAGGAAGATCTGCAGCAATGCTGGGACCGGAGGAAAAGACTTAGACCACCGGGCAGAAAGGAGCAGGCAGGGGTCCCTTGGCTGGTGGGCAGACCCTCCTGAAGAATTAGCATTTTAGAACGTGGGCCATAAGTCAGGGTTCAAATCCCATTTCTGTGCTGTGTGATCTTGGCCCAGAGATTTCCTTCCCTGAGCGCCCACTTCAAAGGTCTTGGATAATGGGGGTCAAATCTCTCCCAGCGAGAAAACATGTGCCTCTACACACACACACACACACACACACACATCCAGTGAGGTGCCAGAAGTCAACAGACCTGATTCCCTAGGGATTATTGTGTGGCCTCAGGCAGGGCAATTTCTATCACCTTTCTGAGATGTAAGCAGAAAGGTAACAGTGGGTGCAGGGTGGGTGTGGGACTTAACTGAAGCTACTGAGCAGGGAAGACAGGAAGGAATGGGGAGGACAGTCTAGGAATTACCACCTGAGTGACACAGGACGGGGTGTCATTGCTCTGAACCTCTGTATCTGAGACAGGCTGACCATGAACTCCTGACCCTCCTGTCCCCACCTCAGTGCCAGAGTGGCAAGCCGGTGCCACCCCGGAAGCAAATGCTCCACCCGCTCACTGAGCTACATACATCTCAGGCCCCATTTCTACCTTTTAAAAAACATCACACTCGTTTATTTCTGTGTATGGGGGAGGAGCTGCGTGCTTGCCTTTGGGGGAGTGTGAAAGTCCGGGACACCTTGCAGGAGTCCGTTCTCTCCTTCCACCAAGTGGGTTCAGGGTCCGAACTCTAGTGATCAATCAGACTTGGCACTGTTTCTACATTTTTAAAGGGAGATCGTCACTTCTGCTGACTGTCATAGTTGTAAGACTGGACTGGGGGGGAGGGTGTCTCTACTCTGCTTCTGAGTGTGCAACACACTGTCACTGTCATTTCATCACAATGAGGCGTCTGTGTAAGAGCTGGGTGTGTGATTACACACTCACAAGGATACACATACTTGCATGCATGCACGTGTGTAATTGCACATTCAGAGGCCCATAGGTTACTCCAGGGTACAAGAGACTCATAAACTACACTATCCAATCGCCAAGCCTCACTTCCTAAACCTCTGACATATATTAACTCATTTAATCTTCAGACCGCTGTAGGAACCCGTCATGGTGATGCAGTCCTATGACCACAGCACTCAGAGAAGAGGTTGAGACAGGAGGATCATAAGTTTCAGGCCTGTCTGAACTACAAAATGAGACTTTGTCTCCCAGACCCACCTCACATGCCCCCAAACCCAAACAAACAAAAACCACCCCTTGGGGAGGAGTGGGGGCTATTACTGTGCCCAGGGAGGCTAAACAACCTGCTCAAAGTCACACAGCAAGGGCAATAATGGTGTCTGAACTACAACCCTGACCAAGAAGAGGCAGCCCCTCCACTCTGTTTCACAGCAAGGCCAGAAAGTCAGCAGGAGGCCCTTACTTCCCTTCAGAACATCCGGAGAACAGACTGAGAGGGGAAGGAGGGTCCCTCTACAGCCACCAGCTGGCTCCTTCTATGGAGGAAGAAACCCTGCCACCCTAGCCCTGGAGAGTAGGGTTACAGAGCTCAGCTGCCTGGGAGGCGGGACGCCGGCCCCACCCCCACTCCATTCCCCCCCCCCTC